CACACGTGGCTGACCCCTGGGAGCTCTGGCACTAGAAGGGCCTCTTAGGATAGTTCCAAGTTGGGCTGAGCTGTCCAGGCCGTTATATGCACAGAGAAGTCACTGGATGAGGGGATGTGTCTTGGGCCAAGAGGGTCTCTACAGCCAAGGCAACGCCTGAAGAGGGGAGACAGCTGACAATGCTCCCAGCACCAGGGGCGAAGCACCTTTCCCGACAGGGAGTCCAGGTAGTAGTGAGTGCCTCACAGTGTCCACTACATTTGCAGAGAGGATTAAAACATTGAGTAGAGAGAATAGAGGATATTTAAGGACATTTCCTCTTGAGCACCTATGGCTAAGTGAACTAATGTGTACAAATTGAAATTGCCAGGACAAGATACGGCACAGAGAGGGTCAGCACCAGGTAGCAGCCACTTTGATGTCTCCAGAACTGGGGGCCTGGAAGGGTCATCCAGCGGTGGAGATAGTTTTTAGAGTAACACATGGCACTGGGCATCGGCCCGCGTACCCACCTCCCAGAAGGTGATGATTGGCATCGCTGTGCTGAAGCTTCCTTGCAGGGAGTGTTCTCTGCCTGACTAGGCAGGGTTTGGCGTATTCCTCTAGGTGCAGCTTGTTTTTTTAAAGGAATGCCTTTAAAAACATAATCAGTATGAATTATTTCCACTTGCCAATTACAAAGACCAGATAGATCCTTACTTTAGAAGAGGAAAAGGGAGGTGGAAAATGATCATAAAGTCAGGATACAGTATCTTCTGTTGACGCATGCTGGCACCTAAGCTGTGGTGTTGAGTGAATGACCTTCTCTGGCTTCACTTTCTTAGACTGTAACACGAGAAGGCTGGGTCAGGTGTTTTGTGAAGATCCCATCCAGTGCTGACCTTCTGTAACCCTGTGGTTCTGTACGTGGCCTCTTGGCAAATGAGTTTGGGTCACTGACAATGCTGCACACAAGAACTTAGCAATTTTAGAAGTAGGGTTTTTTATTTTAGCATCGTAGAGGCAGTTTAACCATCATTTTTAAAGTAGCTCAGTTTCAAAGGCTGGTCATAGCAGATTGCTCAGAGAGAAAGTAGTGAGGCAGATTAATTTCATTCTTATTTTAACTCTAACGGTGAATGGCTATCAGACTGGATATGTTAACATCACATGCAAAGTCTGTGTACTACAGTCAGAAAGGCAAGACTTCTATTTTCTTTGTGGATTTTTCTCTCCTTTTTCTTTATATTTTAGGGACAAAAGTCATCAGCAGTGCCTGCCTGGCCTGCCCACTAACAGAGACACGTCTAGAGAAGGTTACGAAGAAGCTTTGTAGACCAAAGCAGCATGTTCTTGAATTGTTTTTTTAAAGATTATTATTACCTGGGGGCAGTTTCATTATAAATTTGCTGCACAACCGAGGGACCTTTTTTTGGTTCTGTTCTGGCGGTGGGAGGTGCTAACTACCTAATCAAACAGTCCAGCAGACCGAAGCTGTCAGCTGTGTCCCCGACCAGTGCTTGAATAAAGCTGTACAAATAGCAGGGTCACCCTGGCTTCCTGCAGGAATGAGCTATAAAAGTAACAACTATAATTTACCAAGAATTATATTATTTTCAGAGCATTTCTCATTCACAGAGAAAAATCAAAGGTGGTTAAGGAATACTATACCCACATTTTACAAGAAACAAGTTAAAGGCATTAAGAAATTGCCCAAATTCATACAAATCCAATTTTGGTTTTTTTTTTTTCATTTTTTTGGCCCCAAATGTTATGTTCTTTTAAGTTGCCTCACCTATGCCAACAAATTAGCAAGTTTTCATTGCACTTATGTCTGTGTCTCTCAGTCCTAACTACTGGTGTTGCATTTTACTTATTTTTCTGTAGAGAAAACATGGTCCGTATCAGCGAGTTTTCAGTATTCGGAAGGGGCTAGCAAACTGCAGAAGTTTCAACAGAAACGCCACCTGGTGTGATCCCACCACAATGGTGCTTTGGTTGTTGTTTTACTTTTGAATGTTGCATGTAAATTGCAAAGCATTAAAAATAACAATACACTTGTTTCAACATGCGATTGTATTCAGCAATGATTATTTTATTGGCTAATTAGATTAAAGTTAAACAAAATTACAACCCCCCAAAAAGACATTCACCATCATTGGTTTTTGAGAATTGTTCAGAGTCTGTGGTTACGGTTTGGAAATGATGACTTTTAATGACGTGCTGCACAAGGTCACAGCAGCGGATGAAAACGGAAAAGCCCCGTCACACACACACTTCTCCTTCCACGGCTTAACGCAAACAGTCATAGCCAACACGTCCTCCCTGCAGCTGGAAGACAACACCTGGCTCTTCAAGAGCTGGCCTGTCTCATTCGACTTTTCCCCTTGCGACCTTGAGGGAAATAAGACTGTCAAGATGCCTAAGATCAGAACTCAGTCGTTTGAAAACTTCCACTCCAGAACTCTTCCTCTGTCCTAACACCTGTCCTCAGTGATACGGTGAGACCATCATTGCCCGCACGGCTTCAATTGGAGGCGTTATCAATGCAAAGAAAATGCTTTGAAATAGGGTCCAACCTACCTTTGAGGTCAGGGTGGGTGGTTTTATTTACTTTCCAGTGGGAAGCTATCTACTTCAGATGAAAGAAGAATTAGAGAATTATCTGGTTTGGTTCTAACATCAGAAGTGCAGAGTTTTGGAAAGTGCTTTAAAGCAACGTTGGTAATGAGTGGCCGTGGAGACTGTGGAGACGTGTTATCTGGACTTAAAAGCATTCGGTTGTGCATCTGCTTTAGCAGCGAGCCCAGACCTTTTGTTTCTTTAATCAAGCACCGCTTGCAGGAAAAATGAGTAAAATCTTAATTCTTCCCCTCTGTAAAGGCAAGCTTTCAGCCGTATAAAATTATCCATAAGAACTCAGTCAAACCCGGTTGTCCTTTTATTACTCTGCCATAACAAAAACAAAGCACGCAGCCCACTGTAAGCTTCTCCAGTAGTGAGTGTGTAATTCTTCACCCACAGCTGGGGCAGCCGAGATAGGTCAGATTTCAAGCAAGATTGGGGCTTCTAAAACTTCTTCCTAAAAGGGATACATGCAAATTTAAAAACTAGCCTTTTTGGTCGCTCCCACATGTACAGTTAGTGTTGCACATGTTACTATGACTACATGGCTGTTGCTATGAAATTATGTTCATATCCAGGTCCTCTGTGTCCAGCAGCGTGACACATATTCAAATACTTTGAAGGAAGACTGGCTTTCATTAGATACATTGGTCTTGAATATGAAACTCTATTTTACTTTTCTACAAAGTATGAATCTGAAGAGTATTTTTTTAAAGCGTGATGATATAACAACACAAGCAATCTAATTAAAAAGTGGGAGGGAACGTTTTCAATACCCTTATTTTGAGAACACAACAGAAAATTCCCTCATAGCGCCTACATATTTTCAGTGGAGAGATTTAAATATTTAAATCAGCACATCCCCTAAGTTTTAAAATGCTTCCATTAATAAAGTATAACACCAGGACTCAGAGTCTGTGAGCATGGATTTGGCCCCAGGCAAAAAGCTGCAGGAGCGCCTCCCCAGCCACACGTGGATTCAGCGAGGGAAACAGGTTCACGTGAGATTTTCCCTAGGCCCCCTCCCGGCTGCCGGGCCCTCGCAGCTTCCCAGGTTCCTCTCTCCTCTCCGTGGCTCTGCCAGCAGAAGGACGTTTCACGAACTGAGTCGGCAGGAAATGTAGGTGTTTCAGGGCATTTCGGAGCAAGTTAAACTGGATTTTCTCCTGGCTTTCAAAGGGACTTGATGACACCCTATAAAACTATATTAGAGAAGGACGGTTCACTAACTCGGTTTGGAAGTCCCCTGAATTTTGCGCTGTCTTCACCCTTTCCCTCCATCAAAAATCTCACATCATGTAATTGGCCGCTGTGGGGTCTGGAACAGAACACAACGTAACAGGCTCTCGTGAATCGGCCCTTCCAGGAATCAGGCTCACTTTGCATTCTAAGCCAGCAGTTTCCAACCCTTCCCACCTCATGGCACACATAAACTCAGTACTAAAATCCTATAGCGCACCAAAAAAGTATATATTTTTTGCTGATCTGCCCCCCAAAATTGGTTTAATTTTTATTCATTCACACCAGATGGATGTTGTGTTGGCTGTTGTCATTTTTTAATTCGATCATCTAAGGGAAAAGAGGTCAGTGCCTCAGACTAAACAGTCAAGTATTGCATGTTTTAAAAATTCTTGCAGCACACCAGTTGAAAATTGCTGCTCTGGATCCAGGATGGGCAGACTGGCTGTAAAGGGCCAGAGGGTCAGTGTTTTAGACATTGAGGGCCACTGCTCAACTTCCTGGCAATGAATCAACTCTGCCATTATAAAGCAAAAGTAGTCATAGGCTATCACGCCCATATGCATATAACTGTGTTCCAATAAAACTTTATCTACAAAAACTGTTGATGGGCTGGCTTTGGCCCGAGGGCCATGGTTTGCCCTGCCCTGTTCTAATGAACTACAAACGGTGCCTCTCTTCTGAAAACTGCCAAGGGCTTCCCATATTCTTAGCCAGCTGTGCCCCCACACACAATATTCACTGCTCTGATAGTGGGTACATAGCTGTGGTAGAAGAAGTCAGTGAGACCTGAGAACTCAGTTTATGACTCACAGAGGCAAATGAGCATGATCAGAAACTGATAGGAGTGTGGAAGGGCCTATTTCGGTTTATTAGAAAAACTGGGCATGTAGCTGTTGCTGGATCAGCAAGCAGGAGCTGAGGAGGATGGCCATTCTGGTACGGGGGTGGCAGGCGCAGAGAAAGGGAACACACTATTGGTAATGTGGCATCTCGGCAGCCTCCACGGGTCCGTGCCCCTTCCCAAGGCACCAAGTACAAGACAGCGCTAAAGAATTCATTGCTCAAGCAATTGGGCTGATGAACTCAGAGGTAAATCTGCTCAGCCCATGGCTACAAACAAAACAAAATGAAACAAAACCCCCAAATATATAAAAATTGTAAAAGCAGCAATGGCCAAAAATCACAGAATTCCCTATAGGTAGAGAAAACCTTACCCATCCTCTTAGCCAGCTCTTTCACATTACCCATGGGTGGGGGTGGGGCGGGGGAGGGCCTGCCACGGAGGGGTAACTTGCCCAACTAGTTTGTGGAGGAATCACCAAATCTCAGCCATTGTGACTTCCGATCTCTTCATTTCCTTTAAAGTATCTGAATGTAAAGGGCATCTACCAACCATATAAACTCTCACGTCATGAAACTATGACAGCTAGGTACCTGGCTACCCTTAATGACAGTTTTCTGTTGGGACATAAATGGTGCCAGGGGAGCCCTGAAGCTTACTGAGGGGAACAGAATGAATTCTGTCACTGGTTTAACGTAGCCGACAAAAATCGCACAGGATAGAGCATTAAATGGCCATCTTCCCAGGAATATAAATGCTGGTCTCTCCTGTTGTACGATAACATGGCGAGAACAGACTGAGTAGTTCTTAAATCGAAGTTTGCATTGATCTGTTTCCCTCCTACCAAATCAAAGGCAAATGTTATCCTCATATCTTTGGTGTCCGTGACGTAGAGGATCCCTCGGGCGATGAAGGCATTGCCGGCCTTGGATTTGGGGTAGGTGGTATTGATGTGCTGCACCACAGAGAAGGTGCTCTGGTCCAGCCGGGCGACGAGGATGCTCGAGCCATCCACACTGGAAGCGTAGATGATCCAAAGGCCCTTCTCATCTACAGCCAAATTGAAATATGTCTTGGAATTGGCAAAGAGGTATTTTCGATCAAAATACAAGGCATTTTCAAGCTTCAGAGTTTGCGATGTTTCTTTGCCAAATTCAAATCTGGAATGTGTAAAAAAAAAGTAGATATGAGCCACCATTTTTGTGGACAAGGGTATTTTTTTAGCCTCTTCTATTAAACTGGGGTGGGGCCTGTGATTCTGAATTTCTAGTAAGTTCCCGGGCCATGCCCACTCTGAGCAGCAGGGGAGTAAAGGACAGTGACTACATCAAAGTGTCCGCCTACCAGCCATGTGACCCCAGGGAGATTCCTTGTCAAGACCCCACGTCAAGAATCCTCAAGTGTTTGCTGACCTCCTGAAATGCCTCCTCAAAGTTTCTCCCCCCTTTGGAGGGGCCTCCAAAGACGATCTGGCCCAGTCCTTTCATTTTATTGGGTCGGCCAAAATGTCCATTACTTTTTTTCGTAAAATAAAAGACACGTTTTGCACTTTCACCCACAACTTTATTGATTTGGATATTTGGAGTATGTCAGCTATCTCCTGCTATTGGCTTCCAGTGGGTAGAGTCCAGAGGTGCTGCTAAACATCTTCCAGTGCATCAGATGGCCCCACAGCAAAGAATTATTCGGCCAAAATGTCAAAAGTACCAAGAAACTCCACAAACCACTTTTGACACGTTCAATCAATCACAGCACCTTCTCCATACATTGCACAGTTTCAGCTGCATTTTTAGCTTTCTTGAAATAATAAAGCATACTATACTGAAAATGTGTATCTTCTTCCATGTTCAATATTAAAAATGGCTGCACAAAAATTTATCAATTTTGAAGTTTTTTAATGCATGCTGATGTGACAGCTGTCACAATGCAGTCTAACAAAATTGTTTTAAATGAAGTTAAAGACAACTAAACACTACTGCAGCCATTGTACAGAAAAATATAACTGACTTTTTGGCCAACCCAATACATTTGAAAAAGGAGAAGTGACTGGCCCAGGAATACAAGTAACTAGCCGAGCCAAAGTTTGAACTTGAATTTCCAACTCCAAGTTTTTCGGGGTCTTTCTCCACTCTGTTGTAATTTTTAAGTCAAAGTTTCACAGCAGCCTAAGTTAAGAAAAAAGTCTCCAGCTGGAAGAGATGTAGCAAGGTCAGGCTGTGAAGTCATGTCTGCTGTGTAACTGGATAAGTGAAGCTACACATGGAGCCCCTGCCAGCTGTCTGATGTGGCCGACTCCAAGTCCAGACTGTATCATAAAGTGAATTTATGATTCAAAAGGTTCCTGACTCCGGAATGAAAATTCAGACATTAGGCTGAAAGAAAAGAGAAACACTGGAGGGTGCTATTGAGCAGCAGAAGAAGTGGGACGCTGAAGCAGGTTTGAAAACAAAACAAAACAAAACAGAGAAGAGGGGGGTTCCAGAAGGCTCTGCATGCCCATCTCAGCTCACGGGGCGCTCCTTCCCCTGAACCCCTGGAATTCAGGACTGCCATCTGGTCCCTGTCTGGCACTGGCAGGGACCGATTTCGGGCTGTGGCACCTTGCTGCCAGAGGGACCTCTGGGTTCTGGCTGCAACCTTTCTCCAAAGGCGAGAAAGCTGCATCTCTAACCACTCCAGGTCTCTCTCTGGCTCCAACCTTGCTCTTGGTCTCCAGACCAGTAATAAATGCAGACCCCAGGGAGGGGCTGGGACTCAGGGCTGGCTCATTCACTGTCTCCTGCGGTTCGGTTCATCGAGGCAGCAAACCCTGACCGGCCTCGGACTGTGTGCCAGGCCCCGGGGACACAATGCGATGGAAACACAGTGCCGACCCCTAAACAGCTCGCGGATGACTGGAGTGCCACAGCGGGCGCTGTCTGGGCTGCAGGAGAAGGCGCTGCGGGGGCCAGTGACTCACCTCACTATGGTGTTGGAGCCCCCTTTGTGGTAGTAGAGGGCGCTATTGTAAACCGCGTGCCCACAGCCGTGGAAGTAATACGGGAGATGGATGAGCGAGTAACTGCCGTTCAGCAGGGAGGGCTGGTCTTTGAACTCCTTCACCCTGATGCCTGCGGAGGGAAGCGCAGCAAAGACTGTTACCTGCCTGCCCTCTGGTCTGGCAGTCAGAGCTTGGGAGCGAGTCAGGGGAGGAAGGGGAAAGGACCGAGGCTGGAGCGAGAGGTCCTGCAAGGGTCCTCGTCCAGTTGGAAGAGTGTCAGACTCCCAAACTCAAAGTCCAGTTCTCTTCTACAGATTCTGGTCTGTCTTTTGAGAACAGTAGCCACAGAGTCAGCTTTGTTCTTCCCAGGAAAACGTGTCACCCCCTCCCCATCCAACTCCAGACTTTACAAAATTTTCTCTGAGGCTGACACAGGCCTCTCCCAGGAAGAGCAGATACCTAGCAGTTATTCAGTCAGCTCCTGCCTCCTCCTGCCCTCCACAGTGTCGGCCGCTAACTCACACCCTTCCTCTGTCCTTTGGAGCCACAGAACGCTTCTCAGGTGGTCATGGGGCAGTCACTACAGCTGAACCGTTAGCCGTGATGAAAAGAAGCCACATACCGGGCAGCTACTGCTCCGACCGGTGGGTGTGGCCAGACCCCTCTGGAACCAGGTCACTGCTACACGACTGACCAGCAATTCCTGAGCACCTCCCTTTGTGGCAGAGTGACTAAGGCCATGCTCAGAACCCTGCAAGATGGCACTTCACCTTCTCCCCTGGGCTCTCTGTCCACCTGATAGCTGAGAACGACGACCAAAAAGTACTCCTGGGGGGCAGGGGCCGGTGCCAACCTCCGAGACAAATGGGTCTCTGGCATTTCTACCCCATTGTGTTTTGAGAGTTTATGAGGCCATCAGCCATACAACCATGTTGTTTCCTTCTGGATGCTTTGCCTAAAATCGGGTGAGCTACACGGGGTGGGGGGCGCCCTGGTCACGTCCCTGCCACCTGTACAGCAAGGGCTGCCCTCAGTGCGCTCAGAGGAGGAAACCGTCCTGCCCCGCCCCTTCCCCGTCCCTTCCCCGCCCCGTGCTTTCTGAAACAGTGGTTGCTAGACCCAGCAGCGGGGATCCCGGGCACACACAGAGAAAACCAGCCTGCACATAGGCAATGAATGAAAGACACAAAGACAGTGCAGACACAGATTACCTGCCAAGTGGGAGTACCTGAAAAATGTTCAGTCACCCAGATCCGCTCATCACTCTTGTTGGCAGACTCTCTTATCCAGGTCCCAAATGTCTCCGCGACCTTTAGTACTTGTGTTGCATTTCCAATGGAAGTGATCATGGATTCTGCCAAAAGAGGAGGAAAAACAGTTACTTACCTGCCAATGATGACTTTAAGGCATCCAATTTCTGAATTTCAAAATAGGATGCTTTGGTTCTGTACCGGCCTGTGGGGAATGGTGTTCACTGACTTTCTCGTCGGCTTTGCCAACCAAGGTATCATCGTTGGGGATAGCACATGTCTCACCTAAAACAACAACAGCAACAATCAGAGCAGGTGCAGCTGGCGCGCTGGGCCTCGTGCAAGTCTACACCTGGCGCTCTCCCCACCTCAGTCCAGACTCTAGGCCCACGAGCATCCCTTGCAATAGGCCCACCAAGGTTTTTGGTTGCTTGCTTTTGAACAACATCAAGCCATACAATTCCACACTTCCCCCCTTCATTGGTGAGTTCCTAACAAGCTTTCCGTGACCACAGTTGCTAAGATGGTACCATCCCCAGAGGATGTCCTTAAAAGCGGAAAGGTGGCCTGAGCCAGCTCAGTCCGGACTCAGCAACCTGAGGGAAAGAGGGGCTTGCTGATACTTTCCTGGCCTCTTGGGGCAGGTGGTATTGTCATGATTGCAACTTTCTGGAAGATACTCCATTTCAGAGAAGCTGATGCAGGGGTAGGAGGGAGAACCTCAGGAGGGGGCCCACTTCACCTCCTCTTTCTGGACTGCCAGGAGCAGGCAGCCCAGCCTGGCACATTTGAGCCCATCGCCACATCTGCCCACCCTCCCCTGCTTGAAGGCCTCTGGCTCTCAGGTCCTCGACGGGCACCTTACTCACACTTGGTTTTAGGCTGCACCTGAGCTGGGATCCATCCTACACACTTTGTCCTTGTTCCCGTAACAAATGGGCTCAATTCGGACCTTTGGTGAGGAGGTGGCTCCGGGTGGCAGGAGCAGGACAGGAGGGAGGGGGGGCATGGCCACTCCAACGAGGAGAGGGAGTGGGCTGGCTGGGGGAGGGCCCTGGTCTGGGGCAGGTTGGGGCCCATCGGGCTTTCTGGGAAGGCCAGACTCATTCTGACGGGTTCACATCACCCTGTGGCTGCTGGATAGAAATCAGCACCTCCTCGGCTGTCAATGAGGAAGCTCACAGAAAAATCCGGAGAGGTTTCTTCATCAGCCAGGAGGGGGCGGGGCCCTCCGTGATCTCTAAGCTGGTTTCTAGCAGGACGCGCCCTGTTTCTCTGAATTCCTCTGGCATCCCCGGAAAGCAGTCTCAGTGACCTGCACCGACTCTCCCGCAGGTGGTCCCGCTGCCTCTGAGTGTCACCCTGAGTGTCCCCTGAGGAGCTCGGGCTTTGCACAAGAAGGGACAGGGAGATCCTCCTGTTCTTAGTCTGAAGAAAAGGCTCTCATTAATTTCTGTTGTACCAACCTGCTTCTAAAGCTGTGGGGGTGGGGGGAGAGTAAAGAAATGGGATTGGAGCAGGAGAGAGGGCCAAGGTCACTTGCAGGGACCGAGGACCCATTTCTAGGGGGCAGAGTGGGAGATAATGGCCTCTGTTGTTTAAACCTTCACAACTCTGTTTTCACAGCTCTGGGGGCCCCACCCCTGCCGCCCAGCCTCGGGGGACACAGGCCGGGGGGGGGGAGGAGAGTGCTCCTCCAGGCACCCTCTGTCACTGGCTGATGGAGCCTTGGGAATCCAACTCCATAAAGCTCAGGTCAGATCTCCCCTTCGCTCATGCAAGAAAGGGCTGATGCTAATGGAGGTGGTGGCACCGAATGCCAGCGAAGGAGCAGCTAACTGCCAGGGGGAATTATAATCAGGCTCCATTTATGGGGGTGGGGAGCACGTGAGACATCTTTGAAAGCACAGATTTGCCCACTCTTACAGCTGAGTGCATGCCCCCAAAATGCCTTCCAGGAAACACAGTGCACCGAAGAGAAGTAAAGAGTGTTTAGGAAAGTGGCTGTGAACTCCACAGCGGGTGTGACCGACACGCCAGTCAGGACCTCCTGTCCGCTGCTGAAGCGAGAGCGTCAAGTGGTGCCTGCTCTCGGCCTAAGTAGGTGAGCAGATCCCAGGTTACTGCCTTTGGGGAGAAGGTCTAGCACCGCCCTAGAAGTATTTTCCATAGTATGGACCTTGATTTCTAAGTAGTTTTCCATCCTGTGGCCACCCCTATCACAAACTGGCCAAAGAACCAGTTCTGTCGGCCTACCAGAGGTCAAGTTCCCTTGCTTTTAGTCTCAAAGTGTGAATTTCCACCTCCAAAAGGAAGATGTTTATAGAGTAGGGGCTCTAGGGCCAGGCACACATGGCTCTGGAGACCAGCTCTGCCCCTTACTACTGAGTGTTTCAGGTCTGTGCCTGTGAATGGGTGACAATAACAACTCCTATACGCTAGCATTGCTGGGAGAATTAAATGAAGTAAGCACTTAGCACTGCACCTAGCACATTGTTAGCACTCAAAGCTTAGTGGTGGTGGTGGAAGTGCTGCAGTGTTTGTGGGGAGTTAACCCATCCGGACCCCCATCAACTGCTCCAGCATCAGTCAAGCCCATTAAGCTTCAGGAGTGAGTGGTTTGGCCGTCAGGACTAGTTCAGGGGAGGGGGTGGTGGATTTGGCAAGGAAGAGGAATAGTCTGGTAACTAGATGGGGAGAAGTGAGGGAAGGGGGTGGGAAGCCCGGTTCTAACCCGCCACCAGTCTCATCCAGGGGACAGACTGCCCAGGCCTCCCACAGATATGTAGCAAGGGGGAGCTCTTGGGATAAAATTCGGCTTTGGATAAAATCTACTCCCTCTGCTTAAAAAATCCAGTCACAGAGCCCGAGAGTTGGGACCACTAGTGGAGGAGGCAGGTTCCCTGGGGCAGGGATTGGTGACCTGGGCACTGGCCGTTGAACATGTTTGGCTGCCGAGGAGGGGCTTTGGATCTTCTTCCAGGGGACCCTGGGGGTCCTGGAGGTCCTGGTGGCCCAGGAGGGCCGGGTGGGCCAGGTGGGCCGGGTGGGCCTGAGTCGCCTTTGACACCTGGAGAGAGAGAGACAGAGAGAGAGACACAGAGAGAGAAGGTAGAGGGTAGGGGAGATTGATTAAAGAGCCATAATCAGAGTTGGGTTTCACACAAAATAAAAAGAGCAGGAGTCCCTCCAGGGAGCCTCGCCGAGCAGCGCCTCCTGCAGGTGACCGCGCTCTAGCACCTGCCCGGGTGGAGCTGAAGAAGCCCCCGCAGCGAGGGCTGAGTTCCAACCCTGTGCCAGGAACTGCGCTGAGAATTTTATATCTCCTCGTGGCCACTCTCTGCCGCTCTAGGAGGGAGCCTCTCTGTGACTCAGTCTTAGGGAAGTTGAGTGTTTGCCCAAGGTCACAACCCAAATAGGCTGGACCGCAGCCTCAGGTGTGTGTCACTCCAAAGCTCATCCTATTTCACTGGCTGGTGTCCGTGGACTCCAACTCTGCCTGCTCAGCAGAATCGCTCAAGGAGATTTAATACACTTCTTATGCCTGGGCTCCCTCCCAGTCCGCTTAGATCAGAACTATAGGGATGGGGGTTACCTGAATTTTTAAAAAATATTTTTTAAAAATTTTCAATCACAGTTAACATATTATATTAGTTTCAGGCATACAGTATATATAGTGTTAGATACTTATATAACTTACAAAGTGATCACCCCAATAAGTCCAGTGCCCATCAGACACCACACAGTTATTAAAATATCAGTGACTGTATTCCCTATGCTGTACATGACATCCCGAGACTGTTTTTATTCATCTGTATTTTCCAAAGTGTCCTGGTAGGCAGCCAGGTATGAGAAGCACCGCTCTGCGTGGTGGGGGAAAGAAGGAGCCCCTGTCCAGCTTCCAGACCGTGACTGGGCAGCTTAGCCCTGCTGAGTCTGTTTCTTCATCTCCAGACTGAGTCTCACACTCTTTGGGGAACGGGCTCTTGAGGAGGACTGAGGCCCCTGGGTGAGCGCCTCACAGCTGGAACCCCTCCACACCTAAAGGCGGCCATTTCTCTAACTTCCGGTGGTCGGTGTGGGCGCAGGCCTCTGCAGGGGCCGCTGGTTCTGGAGTTTTCATAGGGATGCCATGAGGCTGGGCCACTCAGCCCACTAGTTCTACCTGCCTGTCCAGGGCGACACTGGTGATCTAAGGTCTCTTTACCTGCCTCTTCCCAGTCAGACCAAATAAGCCTTTTCAGTCTCTCAAGAGTGGGCAAGCATGGGTCACTTCAGAGGGGGCGGAGATCTGTAGGCCAGGCAGACACGGTCCAGCCGGACTAGGCCTCCTCCGCTCTCGGACCAGAGGGCACACTCAGCTCTGGCCTGGCCTCCGGAACTCGAATTCTTTCAGGGAGGCTGCTTTTCCGAATGGCTTGTCATCACCCACCCGCCTTACTCAGCAGTATATGGGAAGGCTGTATTCTGGATGTACTGACTTCCCACGTGACTGAAGTGCACATGATCTTATACTTTCAAAGGATATTCATGTATGTAACCCTGTGAAAGCACCTCTTAAGTTTCGTGCACTTTGCAGAGCATCCTCCCCTGTTGATGAAACAAAGCATACTCAATGGAATTTGGTCTCACCTTGATGCTTCGGTCTTAGCACAGTGTCCAGCAAATAGGCACTCAGTACGTTTTCAGTGGATGAATGGGCAAATGATTCAGGGTCATTATTCTGAACACCTATCATCTTAGCTTCCTAAGGACAGACGTCATGTCTTACTCACGTTCATGTTCATAGTCTCAGCTCTTAGCAAAGCCCCCAATTCATAAATGCTGCCCTTTGATATTCAAGAAATGTGTACTGAATACATTAATAGGATAGTTAGGTTTTTATGATACAAACGATTCCAAAGTATTGTGCTTTTAAAATTCCTTGCCTCATGACCATCAACTGTCACCTGCTCTTTCCACTACGTGAGCGTCTTTCTGGGCTCACTGCACCTCCACCTCCTCCCCATAGACACCAACTATCTGCTTTTAAAAGCAACTATCTGGGCTAAAAACTAGAAAAAGAACACCAGCAACTGTGTTTGCCCTAATTCTCCATGTCAAAGGCTCAGGATAAGGGCCTGTCTTGACTGCAAAGAAAAGGCCTGTGTTTTCCGTCAGCGTATGTTCAATTGCTTGCTGGCACATATTATTTTGGATTGTGCTGGATTTAATAGATATTTGGGAAAAATGAAGCTTTTTCCTTCATCCTAATTTAATCCGACCACAATGTTTAGAGCTGAATTATTTAACCTCCTTCTGCTTAGATGCCAGATTTGGTCTTGCCAACACTGGGGTAACCAACATGCTTGGTGTTCTCCTTTTTGAAAGCCCAGAACTCTGAATCAGGCTACAAGATGGCCACATAAGGCAATCGAGTCGAGAACACCCGGAACAGTGCCCCGCCCCCTTATCAAAGCCCAGGCAGATCTCTGGGCCTGTTCGCCCTGGGAGAGGGCCCAGGCGCCAGCCTCTTACCTGTGGGGAGCACGTCATTGGACACGTCCCCCTTGTCCCCCTTTTCACCCTTCTGCCCCACTGGGCCCTCGTTTCCGGTCAAGCCCAGTTCACCAGGGTCTCCCTTTTGCCCTGGAATCCCTGTGGCTCCAGGTAGCCCTGAGAAAAACAACGACATATTAGCCTGTTGCACAAGGAATTCTGACACACTACTTTGTGATACCATATCATGTATTTTAAAAGTGAAGCAGCTTCAAAAACCAAATAACTAATACAAACAACCATTTTAGGACAGGAGCATGGCCATCTTTAAAGAACAACATTTCCAGGAGGCTCTGACGGAACACTCTTAGAGACATTTGGCTGCAATAACCGGCTGAAGAGAGGGCAGAACCACAAGAGGGACAGTCACAAGAAGAGAAACGTAAGGCTTGATCAGAAGTCTGATGCCTCCACGCAGGTTGGATGGAGCACTGTGAGGGGCTGACATGGTGCTGTTAACAGTGGGTGACATCATCTGCATTATTTGCTTGACTCCTCACAACATTTTGGAGTAGAGGCTGGGGATTTATCCTTGCTCCCATTTTTAGACATTGGAACTAAGGCCAACAGTGGTTATCACTGATGCTGCTAAATGGGCATCAAAGATCCCCTGACACCATCACCAATTTCTGTGGCATTCCAGTACAAAATGCTTTTACTCAAAAGAGCAAAACAAGGAAAGTTACTCCAGGACAGGCATTAAGCTGGATGGGTACAGTGTGAACAAACTGCAGTGGGTGACATTTCCAGTCCAGGGGAGCCATCATGACAGGACTTGGGGCCCTGCCACACCCAGCTGGGAACAGTCGGGGTGTGTGCCATGTCCCATCCCAGCACTGCCCCAAGGAAAGCACAGGTTTCTGATCCCTGGGAGAAGGAAGCAAACTGGGTTCGTCTGACTGGCACAGCTTACGGCTGGTGGACCGTTTGCAGGAACCAGCTCAGGGAGCGGGGACCCAGCCAGAGCCTGGCAACTACATTGTGATGAAGAGACAAAAACAGGAGTTTGGGGACACAGAGGTGCCTAGCATTTTTGAGACAGACTGTGAGAGAAGAGGTAGTTGTGTAGAAAGAGCTGGGGAACTTTAGAACTTGAGTCTTTGGATGAGTAATGATCTGTGCAGAATGCAAGACAGGGAAAAGAATGGACAGAAGCATGTCTCTACGCAACCCTCCGAGCCCGCACAGGGGAAGGAAGTACTCATCCCACCTGTCAAGGGGGAGTGATCTCAGAAAAGGACGGGACACTGGGTAGAGTCTTGGAAAAGTCTTGTCGTAGTAGTGGGGCTAAATTAGTCTGGGAGTCAAGGCTGCCGTAGCAATGCTCAATAACAAGCTTTGAATGGACTAGGCTGATCTGCAAGTAGTTTAACTGCATGTCAGAATAGAGTCCAAAATTTGAATCATTCAGTTGAGGTGATACAGCAAATGAACAATTTAAAAGAAAATCGTATGATTATCTCAATGGATGCAGAAAAGGAATTTCATAAAATTTAACACCTATTCTTAAGAAAACTCTATTAAACTAGGAATAGAGGAAATGTCCTTAACCTGAAAGAGGGCATCTATGAAAAACCTATCGTCATCCTTAATGGTGAAAGACTGAGTGCTTTCTCCTACGGTCAGGAACAAGGCCAGGTGTCTACGCTTATCCCGTTTACTTCACACTCTGCTGGAGAAACGAGCCAGTGCAGAAAAGCAAGGCAAATGGGATAAAGGGCAGACATATTGGCAGGATGAATTAAAATTATCTTTATTTGCAGGTGACATGATTGCTAATGTACAAAACTTCAAGAAATCTACACAAGAGCTACTTGACCTTATAAGCTCCCAGAGACTCTGGGCCCTGCGAGGGGAAGTGATTGCCTAACACCGTGCAAAGCCATCACCAGACAGGATCAATTCACACGATCTCCTATTGCAGGGAGCCTGCTGTTCACTCCCATGACAGCCTCCTGGAAATATTGCTCCGTAGACATATTATTCAAAGTGACACAGATTTCAGGAAACAGGGAAGAGCCAGAGGCATGTTTGACAGCAAGCGAAACTTTGATTCCTTCCACAGTCTGAAGCCAAGCGGACTGAGGACCCACTGCCTTTTCTAACTGCACTGTCAGGCCTCATGCCTCTTCTTACAGGCTCTGCTGAGAGACTGCCCATTCACCCCTCTCCTGTGCCCCTCAGCTGGGACAGTCCCGCTCACTAGTGGTCATCCTTCTGGCGTCACAAAGGCCTCCCTCCAGATGTAAAATCAAACCTGGACGGCCCCACCCTCACTGCCTGCTAGCACCAGAGGAGTCAATGTAACTGTCCCAAGGGAATCTTGGAATTCCAGATTGGAAGGTACCTTAGAGGTCAGTTAGCTCAACCTTCCATCCAACCCTAAAAGCCCCTCTGCTACCCAACTGGCTCTCACAGACTTTCAGTGATGGGGAGATTATTGTAATCACATCACATCACATCACATCACATCACATCACATCACAGATCCTACTCGCATATGCTGCACTGCCACTGAAGGCAGTTATTCCCTGAAACATAAACCTGGAGCTGTCCATACCTTTGCCTTTACTCCAGAGGAATGATATGTATTCAAAATGGTTTCTGCTCTTCCAGACTTGAGGACCCTACACAGACCATCCCAAGGAAGACAGCATTGTGTGACAGAACCTTGAAGTGTTGATCAGTGTTAGAAAATGTAGGGACCAAAGAAACATTTGCTAGATTTCAGCCAATCATAAAAAAAGTCTCTGAAAACCCATGAAATTCAGCTGTAGCTGGGAGTCAGAGGCCTTGACTTCCCTGCCAGTGGTGATCTCAAGAGGGTGTCGTGACAGGTGGAGGAGCTGTGACACAAGAAGAGAAGGAGAAGAAGAGCAAAAACCAACCCCCACCCCCATTGTGGGAATTTGCTTTGCCATAGATTCAGTAACACAGGGAAAATCATGCCTCCCCGGTGGGTCATGGCTCATAATACATTTCTCCCAACAGCACCGGAAACCCAACGGTCTGAGCCATCCCTGCTGCATCAGAACATCTTGCTGAGAAGTGATTTGCTCACTTAAAGGAGCCCTTAATTGGGGACCTCTGCTTGAGAAGACGATCTTTTGTCGGTATTTTAAATAGGCAATTTGGCACATTATCTGTAGGACACAAAAGACAAGTCCGTTGCCATAGAGTCCAGCCAGCACAATGCATCAAGTACAACTGATACCGTTTAAAGGTTTCACATGCTCAGATTTAGCAAAGCTCAGGGAAATGGTATCTTCTCGTTACTCCAGGGTTTTCTTTCTCAGGCATTTATTCTAGTCACAAAAAGCCTTTCTGCATCATCCTATTGTCCCTTCTTTTCCTTTATGCCTACAATTCTCTTTCTCAGAAGGCCACGTGGGAAACAGGTCAACGTCCGTACTGTACTGCGGCTATTGCAAGGCAGCCCCCACGGGGTGGGTGTGTAAACTGAAGATATTAAAGATGCTGCTTAAAGGTGCATTCTGACACTTATCTGGGCGTGCATGATCATTTTTGAGCTTTTTTAAAAAAGAGGGTGGGGGCACACAGCACATTCCTGGAGCACCAAGCTCGAGTGATCAGGGACAGGAAGAACTAACATCATTGACGTGTCCACACTACCCAAAGCAACCTATAGATTCAGTGCAATTCCTATCAAGATACCAAAAGCATATTTCACAGAACTAGAACCAATATTCCAAAAACTTACATGGAACCACAGACCCAGAATAGCCACAGCAATCTTGAGGAAGAAGAACAACTTGGAGGAATTGCACTACCTGACACCAAACTACCACGAGGCCACAGTAATCAAAACAGCATCATACTGGCATAACAACAGACACACAGATCAACGGAACAGAATGGACAGCCCAGAGGTACACCTGTGCCTTTGTAGGCAATTAATATTTGACAAAGGAGGAAAGAACATATAATGAGGTAAAGACAATCCATTCTATTAACGGTGAAAAACCCCCATGAAACCCAGATCACCTTCTTGCACCATACACAAAAAGAAACTCAAAATAAATGAGAGGTTTAGGTGTTAGACTCAAAACCATAAAATTCCTAGAAGAAAACATAGGCAGTAAAATATTGGATATTTCTTGTAGCAGTATTTTTCTGATACATCTTCTTGGGCAAGGGAAACAAGAGAACAAAATGGGATCAAATCAAACCAAAAATTTTTTTCACAGCAAGAGAAACCACCAACAAAATAAAAAGACAGCCCACTGTATGGGAGAGCATAATCACCAACAGTACATTTGGTAAGGGGTTAATATCCAAAATTCATAAAGAAGTTACACAACTCAACACCAACCACGCAAACAGTCCAATTAAAGATGGACAAAGGACCTGCATAGACACTTCTTCAAAGGGGACAGTTGGCCGATAGACATGTGAAAAGATGTTCAATGTCACTAATCGTCAGAAAAATGCAAATTAAAACCACAAAGAGGTATCACCTCACACTTGTCAGAATGGCCGTCATCAATAAATCCACAAACAACAAGTGCTGACGAGCATGTGGAGAAAGGGCACCCTCATTCACTGTTGGTGGGAATGGAGATTGGTGCAGCCACTGTGGGAAACAGTATGGAGAGTCCTCGAAAAATTAAAAATGGATCTGCCTTATGACCCAGAGATTCCACTTCCAGGGATATATCCAAAGAAACACAAAACACTAATTTTAAAGAATATATAAACACTGCATTCAATATCTATGTTTAATGCAGTGTTATTTCTAATAGCCAAGATTTGGAAGCAGTTCAAGCACCCATTAACAGATGAATGAATAAATAAGCTGCTGTATATTTAAGCATGGAATACTACTCAGGCATTAAAAAGAAGGAAAACAAACCTTTTGCAACAGCATGTATGGATTTGGAGAGTATTATGAAGTGAAATAAGCCAGTCAGAGAAAGACAAATACCATATGATCTCACTTGTATGTAGAATCTACTGAACAAAATAAACTAACAGACAAAATAGAAAAAGACTCATAAAAGCAGCTGTCAGAGGGCAGGGGCCTGGGGGTCCTGGGGAGGCTGGGTGAAAAACGTAAAGGGATTAAGCAAACAAAAACGGAGCACTCACGGGCACAGACTGCAGTACGGCGTTTACCAGAGGGACGGGGTGTGGGGGAGTAGACGAGGGTAAAGGGGGGTAAATGGTGATGGAGGACACTTGACTTGGGGTGGTGAACACATCATACAACATACAGGTGATGTGCTATAGACTGATACACCTGAAACCGACATTTTATTTAACAATGTCACCCCAATACATTAATAACATTTTGAAAAAAAGAAACAAAGGGTGGGAGACCTTTTGTCTGCACACAACACAGTTTTTGTCTTTGCCCTCTTGTGACCACTGCCTCTGACAAAGCTCCCCTTGATCTCTGTTGACAGAGCTCCCGGCCAGGCCTTGGTGTCAGAAGTGCACTGCTTCCTAATCTCCTTCACCATCGGAGGACCTGGGCGTGCGTGGCCCTTTCTACCCCGCCCGGCTGTGCTCACACTGTCCCTTGTCGCCTGGACTCTGGCATTGTTTGTCCCACAGCTCCCGCCCGTCAGGCCTGGAGGCAGTACATTCTGCCAGAGGAGAAAGGCCAGACTCAGCTTGCTGGAGTGCTCTCTGCTGTTTTTCTTTCTCATGGGCCCACTCAGAAGAAGCTGTCTTGCCAGCTCTAGAGTCGGGAGGTGTGTGGTGTTGCAGGGTCGGCTCCAACCTCTTCACAGCAGGGGAGAGGAGGATGGCTTATTTTTGGCAGGACCATCTGTCGCAGACTGAGGGGTGGGGGCGGGGGCTGGAGGGTGTCAACAACACCCAGTCCCAAGACTGGGATGAACGAGGAGTAGGGTGTTTATTTCTGTTTTTATCAGGATTTGATTTTTAGAGAAGACACTGCAACATTCACTGTTAAGTGAGAAGGTGAGACAGATGGAGAGAAGGGAAATGTTTGGTTTTGTGGCAACAGAATGTCAAACTTCATAGAAGACGCTCGTTGCAGAATGACAACATTTAAGTTCTCTTTTAGGTTCAGTTCTACTCTCCAAATCTAAGTTGGTGTTTTCAAATAAATATAGGGATTTCCACTTAGATTTCCTTTTGGTCTAAAACCAAGTTTCTCCTTGCCTACTTTTGGAAACAATAGCTGACACTAATACAGTACTTACTCTGGGTCAAGCTCTACTCCAGGTGCATATGTATTATACGGATACGAGTTCACACACACTCACTCAGTCTTCCTAACGACGCTATGAGGTTGACACTATTATTTCCCCATTATATAGATGAGGAAACCGTGGCACAGAGTGATTAAGTCACATGCCCCAGGGCACACAGCTAGTAAGTGGAAGAGCCAGAACTCAAACTGAGGCATCGGGCTCCGGCCCCTGCTAGTCCTCCACCAAGCTTAGCACGATTAACATAGGACACTGGGGGTTAACTTCGATGCTTCCGTCTCCTGGAAGCAACTGCTAGGCTATAGCTCTGAAACTCTGATTTCGTCCCGCTAGTGTATCTCATAACATGTTGTTCTTTTCTACAAACATGCACCTCACGTTGTGAGCACAGATGTTTTAGATTTTTGACTTTAACAATGAGATGGAAAGTTCTAGAATAGGGGCCACATGTGTTTTGTTTCCTCGGCAGTAATTTGAACTTGCCCAGTAAATATCTGCCAACAAACATGTCCACCTTCTTCTGCTCAGTACTGTCCTTGGCTCGCCCAGAGGCTCACTTCTACTGGTCACTAGATGCTGCTGCTCCTCTGGGCTCCGCCCAGGCTCTCCTTGCACCAGGCCTACAGATCCATGGCCTCCAATACTCCCTGACGTAGACTCTGTCCCCATGGTCTCCGCTGACTGCAGATCCATCTGCATCTCCAGGGCCCCTGGCATCTCCCCCCCTGATATCTCAGTCCTAGCACATCCACCACTGAGCTCCTGACCGTGTCCCTGAACCCGAGTCAGTGCAGGGCTCCCACCTCAGGTCAGGCAGGGCAGAGACCCCACTGAGTCCCTAGGGGTGCCTCCCTGCTGCTTCCTCTGTATATCCACCTACCATCATGGACTGCTGATTTCACCCCCGAATATCACTTCACTCCATTTGCTCTCCACACCCCCACCTGCCATCCCTTCCACCTGCATTTTGTGAAGCTTCTGAACCATCTCCCAGCCTCCACTCTTGCTTGTCTGCTGTGCTTATTTCAGTGTGTTCTCACACAGCAGTTGCAGTGGTAATTTACAAAGGCAGACCTGATCCTTCACTGTCTCCTACTCGACACCCCTCAGTGGCTTCTCACTGCTCTCAGAATAGAGCCACTTCCCCTCTGTGGCTCTGCCAGCTCTGGCCCCCCTCCAGGAAATTTGACTGTTGGGTAGGATGGACATTCCAGGGCTCAGGTAGGGAGGGGGAGGGAAAGCACAGCCCTGGGGCCTTTAGAAGGGAGACTGGAGAGAAAGCCCTTGTTCTGGAGTCTGAGAGTCAGGGCTGGAGTCTGGGCTGGCCCAGGGCTGAGAATACTGTCAAAACCTCTTCCCATAGAGCCAGCTCTTCAGATAGCCTTTGTCTTTACACTTCTAAAAGGGTGCTTAGCATCCACGTCCCTGGCCTAGGGCAAGGACTCCCTGCTGGGCCCTCAGGGACTCACATTCTAACCTCAGCCTTAGTGGAAATTTCTTGCGCTAAGTGCTGACCTTGCTGAGCCCCAGAGGCCTCCTCACTGGGAAGGTCTGTGTCTTTGCTGCCGTTTCCCTGGGATTTCCAGGAAAGGAGGGTTCGGCCAATCTCAAAAGATAAACAGAATCCAGCACCTTCTCACCCATCCTCTGCTGCCCCCTGCAAGCCTTCTCTGTCCTGCCACCTTTTTCAGCAGGGTGATCAGTTCACCAATGAGACAGGGCAGGTCCCTGCTCTGCTGCAAATTCTCCCCATCTCACTCTGAATACAAACCACAATTCTTCAAGTGCCCAGGGCCGACCTGATTTGGCCTCTTACCTCTTATCCTCTCTGTCCAGCCACCCTGGCTTCCTGGCATCTTCTCAGACTCCGAGGGCAAGCTGGACTTCTGTGCTTGGCTGAAACCGCCCCCACCAGGGCCCCTGGGACTCCCGCTCTCACCTCCTCCAGGTGTTCTTCCAACACTCCCTTTTCAGGGGGTCTTTGGCGGCTCCCCACTCTACCGTGACACTCCGCACCCACACACTTCCCACCCCCTCTCCTGACTCCATTTTTTCTCTTAGCACCTAACACCAGGTAACAGACAATATATTCTACTTATTTATCTTGTTTATTGTTCATCTGCCCAGATTGGAATGGCAGCTTTATGAAGGCAGGGATTTTATCAGCTTTTTCATTTCTGGATCTCCATCTAGAACAGTATCTGCCACATAAATACTCAGCACCTAAACGAATGAACTTTTTCTTTCCTGCCCTCCCTGGGTGGTGGGCTGCAGGCCAAGTACACCTCCGCGAAGCCAGAGATCTATCTCTAACCCTCCTGGAAAACCACGCCTTTCCGACCTGTCCCACTCCTGGCGCCAGCACTGTGGCCCCTCCCCTCCTAGCTGCCCCTCGTAATACTCCCGTGCTGAATCCTCACAACCGGGTCACATTTCTGGGGGCTGCCCAGGATAAGCCAATGTCTGCACATGGACAGTCATCATTATTCAATGCTGATGTTCATTTATAATTAGTATCCAACATGGGATGATCTAGAACTGCTCTGTAATTCCGGCTGTAATTGCTGGCCTTCTGGGGACGGAGCTGACTCGGGCCATGTTGCCCATCTTCACGGCGGCCGGCCCCTGGAAACATGGGCACGTAGGCTTTGCAAGGGGCAGGGCCTCTCAATGGCTTTCTCCCTCTCCACTGGCTCTCACTAAAATTGGCATGGGAATACGAGCAGGGATGCGAGGAGGGGTTACTGTGCTGTTTGGAAGAACTTCCTAGTAGCTCTTCTAGCCCAGGGCCTGTGCAAGTGAGTCGGAGCAGCAGAGCCAAGAGTTTGAAAAGAAACAAGAGGGTGTGGTGGAGCCTCCACTCCACACAGTGGCTGAGCGCCAGCCCTTCCTAGAAGCGTCCTGAGCATTCTTCACGCCCTGCAGTCGAGTGTCCACAACGCATGTGGCAGCTTTCTTCAGTGACTCTGCCCAGGCCTTCTCCACGACTCCCCAGCATGGGAGCTCAGAGCCCTTTGGAACCCACCGCAGTCCACGCCCCAGCCTCCTGCCAGGCCCTGCTCGGGCCCCTGCTTCCCTGGTTCCCGGGCACATCTGACACCTTCGTGCTCTGGGCCTTTGCTCTGGTAATGGCAATGCTGCTGCTCGCAGCAGGGCAGGGGAAGTCTCTCAGAGATAGCAGCCACACCTTTGTAACCATCCTGAGATCCGTGGACAGGGGACCCTGACGGCTGAGACCCTGCAACCCGAGTGCCCACCTCAGGGAGACCTGGATGCTGCCATTTTATTCAAGCCATTCCAGCTGTTCCTTTAGCCAGGAACCCCAGGGGCTGCCATCACTCAGCTGATTTCCAATCAAACACAGACAGTGTCTGGGCAGAAGGCGGTAGGAGGGCAAGGCAGGCGCCGACCCTCGGAGGGACTTGGGTGTGGCACAGTGAGATGGGAGCCGGTCCTCGGGTGCCGGCTCCTCCGCCTCCCATCTGTGGGTCTGCATCAGAGCAATCAGTTCCCAGGGAGGCTGCTTGTCGAGCTGGAGCTAAACCACCGTCAGTTCCAGAAAGAAAGCCCTGGGCCCCCGAAACACAGCAGCTTGCAGGCAAGAGTGGAACCCGCCTGGCATGCAAAGAGGCAACACGTTTTAGCCACTGGACACACTTCACCCCACTGAAAACGCAGTAACAGAGACAAGCAACGAGAAAAATAATGAAAGCGTTGACAAAATACCCATTTTTCCTCTTTTTCCATTTGCTCCTTTTTCGCCTTTTGGGCCCTGGGGACCAGGCTGTCCGTCCGACCCGTTATGTCCTGGTAAGCCGCCAGCGCCCGGAGGTCCTGTGTCAGAACACGGGAAACAGAAGTATTTAAAAGTCTCCTCGCTGACGCGAAGGTGGTTCCCTCTGGCCAGTGAAACTGGGCAGGCGTCAGCCTGTTCCATCCCCCTTCCTTCTCTACCTTTGCTGCCCTCGCTGAGGCAGTGACAGGTGGGGAATGGTGATGGCAGGTTCTCAAGTGGGGGGGGGCAGGAGAGCTCATAACTGGAGGGGGGAGAGGGAGGGGACACAGTGATGGCCGGGCTGCCTCTAGACTCCTCCACCTTCCCCACCCCAGTCCCTTCTGAGTGATTCTGGGGAGATAGCCACCCGTATCCCCCAACCCGAGAGCTAGGAGAACCACGGGCTCTTACCTGGTGGGCCAGGTGGGCCTGCAATAGAACAAGAAATGTAGGTAATAAACTATAGGTAGAAGAAAGCGAAGCCAGCTCCATGCCCCCAAAACACCCTCCCCCTCCTAAAATGTACTAGTGGGCCACCACCCCGTGCCTCTCACGCACAACTCAGCATATTTGCCAAAAAGATTCTTCACATCAATTCAACATAGACCCATTTGCCAATCAAAATGACTTCTGTTTAAGTTTCGATGGATGAAGAATAACTGAATTGGTTCAGAAATTAGTGGTTTCCCAAGCAATTAACCTAATTAAATGAGGTTGGGTGATGGTACAGGTGGGCACTCGTGCAGCCCTGGCACAGGTCAGCGTCAGCAAATGGTGGGCTGCCGTCTGACCGTCAGGAGAGCAGTCCCAAGTGCTCCTGCACAGCCAGTTTGTCTCCTCCACGCCACTGCCACCACTGTGCTGAGGGGAGCTCCCAGCAGAGGCCGGCCTGCCCAGCCTCTGTTTTGTGGCATGAAAGAGGCTGAGAAAAACTGAGGGCCCAGATCAGGTAACGAGTACTTTCCTTGGTGTGCAATCACCCAGGAAATCTAAGGGGGTTTGGATGAATACTTACACGTAATCCAACAAAAAAGATTTTGCTCCCACAAACAGGAGAGTCTCATCAATTACTCTTTCGGAGCATTCAGACAAGCTAATGAGGTGGTAGGAGGGCAGAGGAGGCCCTTCCGTGTCTCCGGACTGCGTGGAATGACTACTGACACTGCGGGGGAAAGGTCTTTCCATAAATCCAAGCTTGGGGCCTTTCAGAAAAAAATCACCATTTACTAAGCACTTACTACGTGCACCAAAATCTGCTAAGAAGCAGAAATCCTGGTCCCTGTGTCTGTTACATCTACAACCTACCTGGGGAAGGTAGACCCTTGTATATCACAATGAAATATGGGCGAGCTACAGAGAAGCAACCCCCCAGACGGGGCACTGGGGCAGGCAGGGCACACGGCTGCCCAGGAAGGCCTTCAGAGAGGGTGAGCCGCGAGCTGGGCCGTGGAGGAAACAGTGGGCCTGAGGAGGCTGCCGGGGTGAGGGAGGGCTGCACACCCCATGATGGGGACCAGGAGGAGCAGTAGCACAGCGGTGGGAACATGCACGGTTTAGGGTGGGCCAGGAAGAAGACTGGTCAAGCTGGTGTGTGGGGATGAGGCTGAGTCAGTACTCAGAGGGGCAGATGTGGGGCGGTCGTTCTCAAATGCCAAATGGAGAGGAGTGAATGGTATCTGTGAGGCACTAGGGAGCTACAGTAGATTCTAAAGGTAGGGAGAGTGGGGGCAACACCGTGAAGTCTGCATTTGAGATCTTCTGGGCAGATGGAAGTTGACAAGAACTTGGAAATAAGATGAGAGAGAGAAAGAGGGAGGAGAGGGTAGGGGGAAAATAGCCAAAGGGTCTTTGTAGTTAACATTAGTGACAAGGTTATGGACAAATGTGGTTGATGACTGCAGAGAAAGCTAGAAACTCCAAAGGTATTTCAGCAGAAGAATGGGCAGGGTCCCACGTCCGACTGGGTAGGAAGCAAAGAAAGCCTAGGCTACTGATGGAGAGAGGCTATTTTACGTACACGGGGACTCATGGGAGAATATATGTTCGAAGGTATGCTTTCAGTATACATAGTCCTACTTTGGGCAAGCGTGATTTGTAGAAAATGGCACCAGATTTTGTAGGGTTAGCATAGCCTGTGGCCACATGAATTTTCCACAAGGCAGTGCACACACCCACTGGCCAGGGAGGGGAGATGTGGACAGCTGACAGACGTCCACAGAAATCAGTCCATCATCACTCCCAGCTGCAGGTAGAGCCAAATTCAGATGTGCAGATTGGTAAGGAAAAGCGGTAAACAAGAAAGAATCAGCTGTACGTAACAGGCTTCAACTTCCCTGGGACAGCCCCGCAACCGCGTCCACGCAGCAGGTCTGCCAGGCCGGAGGTGCGTACCAGGACTTGTCAGCCATGGCCAAGGCTGTCACTGGAGGGAAGTACTTAGATTCAGATTTCCTGACGATCCCTGGACACTCTGTGACTGCAGTTCTTACTCACTGAGTCCACAGAACCCCCTGGAATGCTTGCTGCAATGCAGCTATCTGGGTCCCATCTGGAGATTCTAATTCAATTTGGATACAGAGGCCCAGGAACCTGCATTTTTTTTTTTACCAAGCATGACCAGAGATTGGGATGCAGATGGTCCTGGGTTCCTTCTCACCTCCCACCTGGTGTGAACATTTTCTGGGAAAAGGATCACTAACAATCACTAACAGTAGATCCTTGAAGGGGTCCTTGACCCTGGAAAGGTTGAGAGCTATTCGTTTTGAGGAAAAAGTAAAATGCCTGGGCCAACCAAATTTGGGGGTTCAGAGGGCTTGGGGGAGGCCGGTGATAGAAAAGGTACCAGGAAAAAGAGGGAGTGATCCGAAGATGTGTGTGTGTGTGTGTGTGTGTGTCGGGGGAGGGGAGGGCGTGGAATGCAGCAGGTTCTGTGCCCTGAAGCTACTGGAGGAGAGAATTTTGGAAGAGAGAGGATGACAGACACTCCCAAGAGCTCAGAGGAGGGTGCTCCAGTGACAGCAAGCCCCACCCCGCTGTCTCCTCAGGGTGCCCGCTGAGCTGCCCTTGGGCTCCCTACAGTTGGAGGAGGCCCCACACGTGCGGCATCGTAATAACGTCAATGTCACATTATATACATGTGCCGACTGGGCATTTAGAAGCTGTTCTCAGCTCCTGACCCTTCTCCTTTTCTGAATTACAGACCCCCTAGGAGTACCTGTGGACAGTGTATCCTGTTGCTACCATACCAGGCCTGGTTTCCTGGGCCTGCCACCAGAGCAGTTGACAGGGCCCCACGCTCAGAAGGGGCCCTGAGCTTGTGTATAACGCCCTGTGGTTGCCATCCAGAAGTTCTTAATCATTTTATCTTAGGATTTATGTTTTGTAAATGAAGTCCCGTGGGACGATGAAGCGCATTCCAGGGACTTGGAACCTTGGTGCATTTGTGGGGCTCCCCCGCCTCCCCGCCTCCCCAGGTCAGGCTTGCTCCCTGCTCCCCACCCAGTCAGCGTCAGTGACGGCTGCCGCCTCCCATCCCAGTGGGGACCCAGCAGGACTGCAGGCAAGGCTGCAGTCCGGCTAGTGTGTGCCCTGCGTGCTTGAGTCATGGGGGTGGTGGCCCTGTGCCTGTGAAGGTCTATACTCCCTAGGTGAGCCAGCCGTGCCTCGGAGAGTCCAATATTAAATAGCAATCCAAAAAGCCCTACCATAGCAGGTTGCAAGGGAGACCATGAAAGAAAGGAGTAGAGCCTTCTTCTTGCTTTTGAAACAAGGGCCTCTGCAGTTTTGCTGTGCACTGGACTCTGCAAGTGACACAGCTGGCTCTGACCATGCGCCACACCCTCCTGGGCAGAGTCCACTAGAATTGGCCGCATCCTCCATGGGAGCTGAGCCCCTTACATTTTTTCCTCCTTAAAATGTAAAATTGACCCATCACATGCCTAGTTTGCCTAGCTCACAAACTACAGGTCTGTGAATGGCCTTGCACAGAGCCAGAAAAGACTCCATGAGCCTGCTCAGTGGTGACTGTGCTCCATCATTGATGTCTGCCCAGACACAGGATAAGGAGTAGTGACAAGTGTCGTGGCTGGGTTGGAGTCACTTGGCGGCAAGGAGAGTGAGCACCACCCTGACAAGCAGTTCAGCAATGTGACAGCTTAGAGGTTTCTAGCAAGTCCACCTGAGGAGGCCGCTGCAAGTGAAGGGTGCCCACGAACCTGCCTTCTTCAAGGCACCTGCTCTGGGGGGCTCTGAGGAAATCTGGGCTCAGGGGTCAGAAGCCTCTATAAAAGCCTATGTTGTTTGACTAACAAACCCCGCGGAGGACTGTAGCTAGTGAATCACCCTCATCTTCACCTGAGATGTCACAGGCTGCACAAAACTTCATGGTATCTGTCTTTGTCCCTGTAGTAACCACAGCTGAGCCCAGGAAAAGGGACAGGAATTTGGTCTCATGGTCACAGCTGGACTAGACCCCTGTCACAAGCACCTGCTTTTTAAAAAAACGAACCCAGTGTAAAGCCAGATCTCGTTCTCAGGCCCCTGCCCAGGGTCCGCCCTGGAGACCCTTCCTACCTGCGCCTCGCTGGGGCCTGGACCAGGGCTCTCTCACCGGCCCTCCCGGAGTTGCCAATTCAGTCCCCACCCCCACCAGGCAGCCTGGCACGTCCCAAGGCACCATCTCACTTTGTAACTTGTGCTTTTCACACCAAAGTTTTAATGGAAGAGCTATCTGTGTAAAAGGAGGCCCAATTTCAAGCTGGTATGTAAGAAAGGAGAAGGTCCTGGCTTTTGAAAAGCATTCTGAGGTGCCGAAGAATAGCCTCCAGTACGGATGCAGTTCCCGCCCGCGATCAATCTCCCCTAAGTGGTCTCAATGGGTCCATCCCGCATTCACTGCACAGAATCTCTCTCCTCTGTCACTGTAAAAATCAAAAAGGAAGAGGCTTTTCCTGTGCCTCTCAATAGGCTTTTGTGTCTATAATTCCACCCATCTGAGCGTTTCGCTAGCACTCATTACTGTCACACGTGGTAACTCTAAAAAGGGACTTCAAGAGATAGAAGAAAGGTGCTTAAGCCACACGAGTTTCAGAATAAGGGACCAACCTGTTCCGAAGACACTTCATATTCTGTGAGGGCTGAAATGTGACGGAGTAACTCCATTAGCATTTACCAAGAAGCCCGGGATCACGGCTTTTCTCTCCGAGGCCAAACTAAGTGAATGAGAGTCAGACTCGGACTCAGGGTTCCTTGGGGACGTGTCTTTCTCACCAACCCACCACCCCCATTAACCACGTAAGTAAACCCCAGATTTAGTCACTCAGCAAACTCTCCCCGAGCACCGACTGCACACCAGTAACGTGAGGCACTGGGGAGACCACTGCCGAAAGCGGGGGAGCTTCTGACTACTCGATGGACGCCAGGCAGGGTTTTTCAGCCTCCGGCGGCGGTGCAGCCCTGGCTGGCGGGGTAGAGTGTGAACGGGGCCTCCCCAGAGCCTGGGGCCATAGGCTGAGGGTGGCCCAGCAAAGCTTCAGAGGCGACACTGTCTTTGGTTACATTGTTAAGTCCATGAGAGTGTATTTATTCCATAATAGACTTTTAAATCCTCACCCGAGGAGATTTCTACTGATTTCTTGGAGAGAGAGAAAAGGGGAGAGGAAGAGAGCAATAAACAGAAGGAGAGAGGGAGAGACATCAGTGTGACAGAGAAACATCAGTCGGTTGCCTCCTGTGTGCACCCCAATGGGGATCAAACCCGCGACCCAGGTATGTACCCTGGCTGGGACAGTGCTCCATCCGACCGGGCCACTGGCCGGGGCTCAATCTCAGACTTTCATTGCAAAAACAGTTTTTTATTTTTCAGAGTGCTATACTCTCCTCGGAGAGGCAGTAAATGCAGTGCCTGGGACAGGGCTCTGCAGGCCCACGGTGGGGTGGGGTGGGGAACACCCCACGAATTCCTTGCTCCCAGCTTCCAAAGTCAGGACGTAGGTGCCCGTCCCCTCAGGGGAGACGCAGGACTCTGTCAGACTCAGGTGTGGACAAGCATATTAAAACCACTCCCCTGCTCCCCGCCCCACCCATCAGCCATTCCCGGTGCTGAGGCCTGCTCTGCCTGGACGCTGATTCTCTTCTGTCTGTTTGTCCTCGGATGACTGAGTAGAGGGGGGTCAGCGAGTGACCAACTGCTGGTCCCCCCAGCACACAGTAGGCACCACACAGACCACTCTTCATAAACTGTTTTCCTGACTGATTAGCAATTTGCTCCTAGAGCTTCCCACTCATGCTCTGCCGATTGCACATGTACGATGTAGGGAAAGTTACTTCTGGTAAGAGAACGCTACATTCAGCAAGGCCTTTTTCCTTTCTTGCTTTCCCCTTTAAAACACTGGAACAGGGAGACATCTGAGGCACCAGTTCAAGGTGCCACACGTTTCTAGTCGCCCAAGACCTCATTATTTACCATGGCTATGCTTCTATGGCAATACCGAAAATAGTATTTTCCATAGCTATGTTACAACTGATGTTCATCCCACTAAAAACATCTGGTGAAAGTAAACCAACACATATTTTTATAACCTACAGTGTTAGTGAGTGTCGTTGGGCCCCAGCCCTTTGGAGAGGACACCCGTGCACCTTGTGAGCAGCGCGGTCAACGGCCCGGCCAGCCTACCTGTGAGGCAGATCCCCTTGGTGCTGTTGCACAGGTCCACCATCACTCGGATCTGCAGGGAGAGAGGCAGGGTCAGAGCTGCACAGCCGGCCGAGGGCCCTGCGCTTGCCCTTTATTCGGACAAGAAGAAAGCCATGACAGAAATTCACAAAGTAACTTGGGGAGAATAGGCAGAAGTCGAAGGAAAAGTTAACCAAAGACAGAAAAGAAACCTTTAACAGATCTCAAGATACATGGTATCAGAAGCTCATCCGTCGACAACATCAGCAGGATCTCCTTGATCTCTATCAGTCTGAGAAGACAGGGGCTGGGGAAGGAACTGCCAGATTCAGTTTTCAAGGCGGTACTGCGCTGGCTCCCATGAGTGCAAAGGTCTCAACCTGTGAGCCTAACTAAAGAGGGTCACTAGGTTTAGTGGTTAGGAGCAAGGGGCAAGGCACTTAAAACACTCGACACTTTGGTTTTTTTTTTTTTGAAAATGTGAATAATATGAGCGCCTGTCTTGAGCTCTGTCCCTGGCGCCCCAGGGGAGTCATCCTCCTGCCACGGGGATGCTGCCTACCCACTGCCGATGGCCACCTGTGGAGGGGGGCTCGCTGCAGCGTGCTACTAGCCTGATATCTGGTTCCCCTCACACACTGTGCAGCTCCTGCTCCCACCCATCCCCCACACCACTCCCAGTGAGCTTCACGAAAACCAGATCTGATGGGGCCAGTCCTGATTCAAACGTGTCTGCGATTCCTCACTGCTCTGAAGACAGAGCAGAATTCCTCTTCCTCTGGACTCACCTCGCACTGCTTCCCCCTCCCTTTTAAAAGTCTGTCCTCTAGGTACACCCTGCCTCAGTTTGCTCATCTGTAAAATAGAGAGAGGAGCTGTGCTTACTTCTGAGGACTGTTGAGAAGAGTAAATAAAACTGTTAGAAGTGAAGATCCGAGAGCAGTGCCTAGCACTCAGGAAGCACACACAAAGTGTTTTTTCCCTTTCTTGGAGGAAGCAGAGTACATTACGTGCACAGAAGCATGGATGCTGAAGCCAAACTACCTGTGTTCAAATCATACTGCCATTCAGAGCAGTGTGACCTTGGACAATGTACTGAACCTCTCTGTGCATCAGTGCCCTGGCTGAAGGTCAAGTTCACAACACCTACCTCGGAGCATGGGTGTGTGCACTGAATGGGAAAATACATGCAACACAGTCAGAACAGGGCCCCACATCTGATTTGCCCACTCTATTTATGCTGCTGTTTTGATGGTTCTTTGAAGGTTCTTTGATGGTTCTAAGAAGAACTTAGTTAATTTATCAATTTACCATCCATGAATTTTAAATCTCTAGACACAGCAATTTTTAGACCCCTAAAATGTGGCATTTCAAAATTGTGGGGAGAAAACATATTAGTTAAGAAATAGAGTAGACATCCTGGGAGAAAATAAAAAGCCAAATCCTTCTCTCCTTACACTAAATAAGTTAATTAAATGATACTGATCAAAAACTTAAAACTAAAAAAGAAACTAGTAAACATACCAGAGGAAAACTTGGGGAAAATATTTATTATGGCATCAGATTAGGAAAGACTTTTCTGGGAATGAAACAATCCCCATACTATATATAGAAAGAGGTAGAAGTAATACATTTGACTATTTAATAATTAAAATTTTCTGCAAGAGGAACATTCTACTAGCAATAACAAAGGAGAGACACACACCTAGAAAAATAATTGCAAAGGGTTTGTATATAAAGAGTGGTTAAGAAGCAATATGTAAAGGAACAAGAAACCAACAGAAAAATGGGCAATGGACCCAAGAGGGAAGTTCAAAGAAAGAAAAGAGTGCCCCATCTTCACTTAGAGTTAAGGAGATACGTCCAAATGATGAACTACTATTCTCACCTCTTAGGTTCTAAGTGCAAAGACTAACAGCACATGTCCCAGGCGTGTCAGGAAAGCAGTACTCATGTGTCGTACTGAGGGGAGTGTAAAGGGATACTCTCTTTGGGGGGATTTAGGCAACAGCTACTGAAATTTAAATGGATCTACCTTTCGATCCACCCATTTCACTCTGGGATTTACTACACAGGTGCGCTCATATACCTGTGAGAAGGTACAAGCACAAAGATGGCTCCTGCAGGAATGTGGGCGAGAGAAGACAGTGAAAAACCCTAAATATTGGTCAGGGAGGTCTGGTTAAACAAAGTGTAGCAAAGCCCCCCCCCACACACACACAAATGCTGTGAAGAGAAACAGAACTTAAATCCCCAAGGCTGATAATGAAAGCTCTCCGAGATAAATGGGAAAATGCAAAGTACAGAGCAGCATATATAATGCTTCATTTACATGAAAAAGTGGTGCACACACACACGCTTCCACGTGCTTCTTTCTCGCCACTTTTGAGATTCTCTCCTTCTTTGGCTGTCCAGACTATTTCTGGAGAAAAATCTAAAAAGCCTCCAGTGAAGAGGAATGGAGGGCCAGGTCGGGGGGGAACTGTACTGAGAATGATATGCCCTTTTGTTTTACTCAAAATTTTCACTCTTTCAATCACACTCTCTTTTAAAAGACCATGTTTTGATTTGATGGGAGACATTGTTTTGTCTCCCACTAGGTTTATTCTGTCTGCTAGGAGCCCCAGAGAAAAACTCCAACTGCATTTACTTTTTGTCAAGTCTGTCGGGTGCTTACTGCTGGCACTAGAAATTTATCGTGAAATATATCATACACATCACAGATACATAAAATGTGGGTGAACAGTTTAAAGATGAATAAGAAAAACAAACACGTATATGCCACCCCCACCTTTAGGACTGAAAACATGCCCGGGAACACACAGGTGCCCCTCCCCAAAACACCCTGCTCCCTCCCCTGACCCCAACAACTCTCTGAGCTGAAGGTTTTGGGCCCCATTTCTTTCCCTTTTACACAGATAAGAACGTAAGAGGCTTAGAGAGGTGGCGTCTCTTATACAGGTTCACATGGTCTGGTTCATCGAAGAGTTGGGCTTCCAGTCCAGGTGTGCTGGTTACAGGCCTGCTACCTGATTTATGACGGCTCTGATGATTGCCTGAATGGAACCAGACAACAAATTTCGATTCATTGTTTTCAGTCATTTTCATAAATGAACATAATCAGCTGCACCATGGACAAAACTTATTGTCTAAAAGATGTATAATTGCCCATTGAAAGGCCCGTTAAAGACTTTACAATTCTTCATTTGCTGCCTTGGGGAAGCACAGCAGGAGGAGCAGCTTGAAAGAACAGAAACATCAATAGGAAAAATTAGTCTTTCTCTTTTATTCTCATAGTGGCCTGAGGTAGGCCCAGGTTCTGTTAAAAAAAAAAAAAGGATGAAGAAGATTTCATTTTCTGACTTTTTGGCTTTATTTCTATACTGAAAGTCAATTAGATATTTACCAAGAAATTGTGTTATTCTTCACTTGGGTGTATCACTTGGGAATATTCTTTTAACAAGTGTGGGTTCGGTAAGATTGTATTACTGTGAAACATAAGATATGAAGAGGTGTGGCCACAAGAAAGTCAGAAATATTTGCTTTCCTAATAGTGATGATTAAGAATTTGGATGAAAATAATAAAATCCAAAATTGAAAGTCACAAAAGCTAGTTGTCAAATCAAGGAGTCACATTTGGTTCAGAGGGCTTCCTAAGTCTTTTTTTTTAATTTGTTCAAGTATAGTTGTTCAAGTTTAGTTCTCTTCATTTCCTCCCCTAACCACTACCCTCCCCCACCCATCCCCACCTCCTACCCTCAGTCCCACTCCGCTTTGGCTTTATCCATATGTCCTTTACACATGTTCCTGATGACCCTTCCCCTTTATTCCCCTATTATCACCTCCCCCTCCCCTATGGTTAATGTCAGTTTGTTCTTTAATTTTTTAAGTTTTTTTTTTGTTTTCATTTTTGTAAAATTTTATTAATTTTAGACAGATGGGAAGGGAAGGAGAAAGAGAGGGAGAGAAACATCAGTGTGTGGTTGCCTCTTACGTGCCACCCACTGGGGACCTGGCCCACAACCCAGGCACATGCCCTGACTAGGATTAGAACTAGTGACCCTTTGGTTCACAGGCTGGTGCTCAATCCACTGAGCCACATCAGCTAGGGTTGTCAGTTTGTTCTTTATTTCAATGTCTCTGGTTATATTTTGCTTGCTTGTTTTTTTGATTAGCTTTCACTTACAGGTGAGATCATATGGTATTTGTCTTTTACTGCCTGGCTTACTTCACTTAGCATAATGCTCTACAGTTCCATCCATGCTGTTGCAAAGGGTAGGAGTTCCTTCTTTCTTTCTGCTGCGTTGTATTCCATTGTGTAAATGTACCACAGTTTTTTGATTCATTCGTTTGCTGATGGCACTTAGGTTGCTTCCAACACTTGGCTATTGTAAATTGTGCTGCTATGAACATTGGGGTGCATTTTGAATTGGTGCTTCAGGATTCTTAGGGTATAATCTCAGCAGTGGAATTGCCAGGGATCAAAAGGCAGTTCCATTTTTACTTTTCTGAGGAAATTCCATACTGTTTTCCATACTGGTTGCACCAGTCTGCATTCCCACCAACAGTGCACTAGGGTTCCCTTTCCTCCACAACCCCACCAGCACTTCCTGTAAGTTGATTTGGTTATGATGGCCATTCTGACATGTGTGAGGTGGTATCTCATTGTGGTTTTAATTTGCATCTCTCTGATGGCTAGTGATGCTGAACATCCTTTCATATGTTTCTGGGCCCTCTGTATGTTCTCTTTGGAGAAGTGTCTGTTCAGGTCCTTCGCCCATTTTTAAATTGGATTGTGTAATCTCTTGGAGTGGAGTTGTGTGAGTTCTTTATATATTTTTAAGATCAGACCCCTGTCCAAGGTATCATTGGCAGATATATTTTCCCATACAGTTAGCTCTCTTTTCATTTTGTTGATGTTTCTTTATTCATGCTTTTAAATTTGATGAGGTCCCATTAGTTTATCTTTATGTCCCTTGCTCTAGGGGACATATTGGTGAAAATACTGCTGTGTGTAATATCTGAGATCTTCATGCCTATGTTTTCCTCTAG